TACCGCTTTTCTCTCTCTCTCTCTCTCCCCCCCCCCCCCCCGGTGGGGAACTCAAAGTGGTTTCCAACATAATTATGGCAAAATCAAATACCTCACATACAAAAACAGTAAGGTGCAACTGCCAGTCCAGCTAGCTTTCCATGTGGAGCAAAATGTCTTGAGATGCTCTAATTGCCAGTGGGTTACAATTCATATAAAATATATATATTTCAAACTGGCACATGAAATATTTATTTATTTAGAACATTTATATCTCTCCGTGGAGGGACTCAGAATGGCTAACAACAGCAAAAAATTCAATGCTACACAATAAATAACTTTTTAAAAACAACGTACATAATAAATAAGTTATAAAATACATATGAAAGACAGTTTGCTGAGTTAAAAGCATCATCCAACTCAATCCAAACATTGTGGTCCAATAACTCTTAGTCTTTACCGGTTCAATCCATCAATCTGTGAATGCCTGATTCCAAAGCTAGGATTTCAGTTGATTCCTGAAGGTCAGGAGCAAGGGGGCAGATCTAGAACCAAGAACCAAGGAATTTGGTCACTCAGATGTTTGACTGAATGTATTCATGATGTGTGTACAGTATTGGGTATAGTATAGTTTTCTGTCATAGGCATTCTCTCTCTCTCTCTCTCTCTCTCTCTCTCTCTCACATACACACACACACACTCACTTACTTTTCTCTTCCACTACTTTTCTGAATCTACCATAATGATAATTTGTCTGGAAGGATTGTTTTTGTTATATTTTAATTCAAGAGCTCTTAAGCATTTTAAATCTCACTTTGTAGGATAAATATTTCAAATCAATAAAGGAATGATATGCAAATACAAAGCATGAGTTAAATGCTAATGCTGATATGCCCAATAATTATTCGGAAGAAATAGAATAAAAACAAAATCTGTAGAATGTTGGTTATTAGCATTCTAATTGGGGTATGCAGTGTTCAAGCATGGTGGCTCCCTTCCTTCTTCCTGTGAAGAATAGGATGCTTGACTTGTCACTATGAAGAGAAAATAGTTTTTTTTTTCATGCCATAATGAACTCCCATAGTAATAGGAAATGATGTTCTTCAGTCTTGAGAATAACTTGTACTATGGGAAAATAACATCTACATGGGATGCTTGTCTTATTTAGAAAATAAAATGCACCAAGTATGAAAAAAATGTCATGCCAGCAACAATCTATTTAATAAGAACTGCTGTAATTTGTCACATCTGACTTTTAACTTTTGTCTAATGAGCAAATCAGTTCAGGATGCGTCATTTTTAAAAGCATGGGATTATTCAGCAGTGATGTTTACAGAACCATTAAGAGCAGGCAAAAACATGAAGGTGTCTAACGTTTTTTATGCAAATCTAGTCTGTGCTGGCAATAGAAAAGAGATGAAAATATGACTGTTTATTTCAATACGGTGTTTTCTACTATGCAGGATTGAGCCAAAATGAAACTCATAACTATTTCTGTGTGGTCATGTACTACCCAGGGTTGCCGGGTGTGTGTGTGTGTGTGTGTAGAACTGCATACAGACATGCAAGTGAAATAATTTTTACCCATTCACTATTTTATGTGGTGAGAGGAAGAACAGAAAAAAACAACTCAGATTATGATTAATTCAGTGATCTCTTTCATGCCATTTGAGATTTGCTACCTGAAATGACAACCTCGTGTGCTTGGAAAGGTACGAGTAGATCTGGTCCTTGAACTCTTCTCCTTGTAAGATGACAATTGATTATATTTGTCGATTCTTAGATAATTAGCTTGCTGTAATTACACATCTTCTATCTGTTTCTAGTTGGTGTGTTCACTCTTGTGTTTGCAACCTATATGACCTTTTATGAACATCAGTTTAGTCCTACTAATGCTTGTCATTATGTAGTGTGCATTTCTCAGTAATGCTCTTCTCTGTCAGCATAATCCTAACACTGTATCATTGGCCCTTTAAGGTCTTGGAATGGAAAATAAGTAATAATGCTGTCTCTCTTGGCTGATGCTTTCATTAGCTCAGGAACATTGTGATGGGGAATCCAAATGCTAGAAGCCATACTTTCCCTGACAAATTGTGAGAACTCAAATTCATGTCCCAAATAACTGATTCATAACACAACTCCAATCATTTTTGAGAGGTAAGACTCAGTGTGTAGAGTGGGATTTCCTGTAGTCCAGAGATCACCTGTGGATGAAAAAGTTCAAGGCTCTTTGTTGTCGTGGGGTTTTTTGTCTTAAAATAGAACATTTCTTCAAATAGAGATCTGTCCTCTGATAGCTCTTAAAATTAGAAGGTTGTATTGTGTGAAGGAGGACACACTGCATGTAAATGGGCAGCAGATTGCACAATATACTAGCCACTCTATGCTTGTGGAAGTTATCTTGTAGATTCATTGCCCTGCAGATGTGGTTAGGCAACAACTTTCATCCACCCTGGCCAGTACAGGGAATCACAAGGGTTGATGGGATTTTTCATCCATCTACATGTGCTTGACACATGTTTTTGATCTCTATATTACAAATTCTGAAATTGAAGCAATGAGGGTTGTACTGTTTAATACCTCTGATGTTCTCCACATGTAGGGATTGGCATGTGGGACAAATGCCAAGAGTAGCCCTGCTCAGTGTACTAAATCATCCCATGCAGAGGTTGGGGAAAATAAGTGATATGTTTGTGTTTAAATGTAACACTTTTAGGATTCTATCATAGTTTCAACGTAATTCTGTATACTGCTAGCTGAGTCTCCAAGGACTAGTTGTTTGTACATAACCAAAGCAGCATGCAAGGGAAGTATCAGTTGGCCTGAGAGAACTTTAGAAAAGAAAAAAGGGGAAATAAAGTCAGGGAAATGATCTTTAGGATTGGCTCAATGGAAGAAAAATCTCTATGAAAATTGAGCATGCTCATTCTGTTTAGTCTCAAGTAGACTAGACTCTTTTATATTGACACTTTGATGTAAGATGCATTGCTTCAGTGCTTCTATTCTAGTTGGGGCCATTGGCTGGATTCAAGCCAGGGTGTCTTTTGCAGAGGAGAGGGAAAGAAATGGAAGAGGACAAAAGTGTTTTTTTCCCTGGAATCCTGAATAAGAGCATTCTACAGAGCCACCCTTGTGTAGTAAAATATATAGATCAGGTCCATTAAGACACTGTTTTTACCAGTGTTAAGCTGCTCCTGTCACCCTTCAGTTTTCAAATGTTGTTCTTAGAACAACACTAAATCAACATTTGGATAATACTTGTTTTTTTTTTAAGAAAGGGAAGATTTTTTAAAGCCGCATGCAAAAATCTTTAGGATAATAAAACAAGTGTCAAGAGAATGCTCATCAAGTTTAAAACTATCACTTTATGTTTCAAATACATGAACAACAGATGTAAAAGATTATTTCCAGAAGGGTAGGTATTTTAGTCTGTTCTTAAAAGGAAAAGGCTTTTTAGTGGACTGCTTGCAAAATTATGAATTTCTGACACTGGCTTATGCAGCCACACCAACTAAATTGGATTTTGTGTGCTGGCATGGTTTAATAGGGGCACATACACAATTCTTAGGTGAATTTACGGTGTATAAAACTGGAGTGACAATAATAAATAAGAATGAGGTTCATTTTTTGTGAAAGAAAAAAAAAACCTCCCAGCCCCAAGGGATGTCCTTCTTAAGGTTCTGCAGATGTCTCTTCTGGCTGCAAAAAAAGATTGAGGAAGATGGGATCAGATGGGAGAAAGCTGCTTGTTATGCTATGAAAGTGTCTTCTGATCCTGAACTCTGGCAAAGAAGGATCACTACTTCATATACTGATATAGGAAGAACTGTGCCTCCTTTTTATCAGTTTCAACCATAATCTGATTGACACCTAACTACCCTTGCAGATCATTTGCAGTTGTAGTTCCCTATAGAAGTGACTGTAAGCTGCACAATATCTTCAGAATTTGTAACACACACATTGGTTAGTCGCTTATACTCCACCTTAAGTTTTATTCCTTAGAAAGCTTTCATGTGTATTACAGTCATCCCTTCATATTTGTGGTTTTGATTTTTGTGCATTGGATTATTCATGAATTTGATTGGAAATGTTCTCACTAGGAATTTCAAGATCCACCATTGTAACTCTATGGTCAACTTCTTCTAGTCATGCTTGAGGACTTAAGATTTCTAGAGTGAACACCTCTTTAGGAATCTCTAGATCCTCCAGTGTGATTCTCTATTCTGCTTCCAGGGCAAGTTCACCATAAAGTAATATTGGAAGACCTATAAATTCCTAGAGATTGTCTCCAGTATATCTCACTATATTTTTTTTAAAAACCCAGCAATTTCATTATTCACTTTTCTGTGCCTCTAACCCTAGTGAATCTGGAAGGCTGACTGTATACTGTAATATATGCATGCAAACTGGGGATGATGGGAGCTCCAGTCCAACATTGAGAAGTATCAGATTGAGAAGTATCAGATTTGGAAAGACTGTTCTAGTGTGCTTCTCAATAGGTTCTCAATCCATTTTGTGAATTGGGTTCTGCACCTTTAATTGCTCCTTTAATTAAAATCTAGAATAAAATACAAGCACTGCTTTCATGAACACCACTGGTCCCCAACCATCATGTTGCCTTCAACAGCACCTGCATTTCCACACATAATTATCTTGACTCATTTTCTTTTCTAAGTAAAAATGGAACAGATAGAAGTATCTAGCTGTCAGTCAGGGCCAGAAATGGGAATGCTTTGCCTTCCAAATAGCTGAACAAGAATGTGCCATTACAATGTAACTACACCAGCCCGCGGAGTAGAGTGGAGTGGAAAGGGATATATTTGACCATTCTTGTTAGGTGGAATTTTTTGGATCCCCAATGTTTTCATTCTTACCAAAAGACTATATTGGTTTAAATAAAATACATTTTGTTTATTTGGTTAATTATTTTGCAATGATTCTCTGTGACAGATTCCTTCTCCTACCTGTGGCTGAAATTAATGATAATGTGTACTGAAAATAATCCTTCTTGTCTCTTGCAGTCTGTTATTTATTGAATAATAACTTCAGTCCAGACCTGTGCAATGAAGATGGATTAACTGCACTGCATCAGGTAAGCATTTATGAAAGATGAAATGTGACATCTAGGATGAGCTTCTTTTCATTTGGAACCAATCAAGCAATATTTTCCTTGTTATGTCTTGGAAAATCTGAGGCCTACAAGCCTGAAGTGATGGGGTTGAAAAGAATATTTGTCGACAAGAAGAACACTGGACTGTAGACAATCATCACAGTTGGGACTTATTTTGCACAAAATTCACATGTAGTGCTTTTTGTGCCTTACACATTCTCTGCCCAAAACAGCATTTCCTGCCCAAAATTTATATATATATATATATATATAGAGAGAGAGAGAGAGAGAGAGAGAGAGCGCAGAAAATGCTGCTTTGCAAAAAAAAAAAAAAAAAAAAAAAAAAAGAATGATTACCCAGATACGCAATTTTCAGCATAGAAAACAATGGTCATGTAAGAGATCTTTTTCCTGGATAGAAAAGACTTTATCCTTTGTGGAAAATTATATTTTCTACATAAAAAATATCACAGGTAAGTTTTGCACGGAATATGCCCCAATCTCTGAATAGTCTTCATAAACTATTGAGTTTGCAAAGATTTTTTTCTGCAGCAGGAAAAAAATTGCTCCAATTATTTCCTGCTTCCTTTGAAAATAAAATTAGTAAAGAATTACATTCTTGCTATATGATTTCTCTTTTATGAGGTACAGTAATTGTGGTCTCCATGCCTCCATACTATGTATGTATTTTCTGCCTTATGTGGCTAACAGGTAACGGAGAATTTAAGCTTGAAAAATGGTGGCAAGAGCTCAGATCCTCAACCTAATCTAAATAATCTCTCCCATCATTTCAATCTACCCATCAGTGTATTTGTGTAATATATTGCCTTTCCCTGAACAATATTCTCAACACCGCTCACACCAAAGCAACATAGAAAATAACAACAATGCATTAAAAGTAAATAAACATCGGACAGTAAATCAATTGATACACAAGGAAAACATCAATAACAAAACAATAATGAATAACAACAATAACTTCATTGTCAGCAAGGACAACATAATGTGTCTTTGTGAGCTTGCCAGTTTGTATATTTGCTAATTGAAATATTACTATATACAAAGAAAAAAATCAATTTAGAACCATTTTAAAAAGTAAGGAATAATGGAACAGTCAAGTAGTATTTTAAACAGTTTAACAATTAAATCAAATTAAAGAAGCATCAGCATTGTGGGCATTTAAAGTATTTTAAAGGAAGGTAAGAGTAGTTGTAGATCCTAAGGATTGCTTGGCAGAGGGCAAAACTTCTGTCAATGGTAAACAAATCTAGTTCCTTTTTAAAAAAAACTCTGATAGTGAATACAGTTAATATTGAGCCAATGGCCTAACTAAACAGGAGGCAAAGGACACAGTTATAGTGCTGTGATTCCATTTTAACTGACATGGTGCCATCTTGTGGAAGTTTTTAGGGAGGGTTATGTAGAAATCTTAGACAGTGAGAGCTAGTGCCCCACCAGACTACAAATCCCGAGATTCTACTGGATATAGTTATAGAACCATAGTGCTATAATTGTTTCGTGTGAAAGAGTGCTATATGTCTACAATCAGCTGGAGAGCATGGAAAATGGGAAACGAATTAGAAAACTCTTGAGCTTGTTATGCAATGTGTTTGTGTCTGATTTGCCACCTTGTCTCTCCCATAAGCTGTGGGCAGATGACATTAGTTAACTATCCCTTCCACAATTAATGAGAATCCAGGCCTAAGGCACTTGTATTTAAAACCTTCTGAAGTGAGATTTCATATTGGGAAATAGATTATTTTGAGTGAACTCTTCTTCTGGGAAGAAACTGAAAGCTGGATTCGATCACCTTATCTGTTTTTCTTTAACACTTTGGAATCAGATGGCTGTTTTCTGAGTATCTGGGTGTAGGAGAAGGTACCATCTGGAAGCCTCTTTCCAAGGCACTAAGATGGTAGGCGGTCACATAACAGAGGGTGAGTTGTTAAGCTGATTCTGAAGGCGGATAACCTCACCCAGAGCTCATTCTTTGCTAGTCAGTATTGTAAATATGACTATTGAGGAATTGTGGCTGAAACCCAGATTATTCTGCAAAAGAGCATTCTTTCTTTGGCACTGGATAGATGTTTGGTTTAACATGCAAACTAGCTCCGAGAATATGAAATACTTCTTTTTAACAGATGCTTATTTGTTGTGCCTATAAGAAAAAAAGAGAAAACATGTTTTGCTTGGTGACAGAACTTTTCGCTGGCATCACAAGTGACAAAAAAGGCCTTGTGCTCCATAGTCATTTGGGGAAGGTATGGATGAGAATTTTTAGGAAAGACAGCTAGGGTCTGTAAGATGATTGTGTATTTAAAGGCTATTGGTGATGGGCAACCAATGATCATGCTGATGCTGTTGAACTACAACTTTCATCGGCACCAGCAATATGACCAGTGGTAAAGAATCGTGGAAATTTGAGGCCAATGGTATATAGAGAGAAAGCATTATTGATCAATAATGAAGCATATTATAACTACAGTTTGGTAGAATGGAGGAAGAGAAAACTGTTATTTCCTTTTCTATCTATGAGCAAAAAATATGATTATCCAAGGATTACTTTATACAATGTGTGTGACAAATGCAACAATTTGGATAATGTGAATATTTGCATTGACATATATTTCCTGTGCAAATAAGGAAAAAAGGATCTTGATGCTGGATGCACTATCCCATGTTTGTTTCTATTGTTACCATTTCAAAATTGGCCCTTGGGCCTGCTGAAGTTACTCTGTCCATCTTTTTAAGTGAATCATTACAGGTAGCTATTGGATAGCATCCCTAAGTAATAGCACATTCTTTGCCCCATTATCCCATCCCTAGTCTATGCCCAGAGTTTGACCCTTTATGTATCTCCTTATATAAAAGGATAGGCTCTAAGAACCTATGTAGTACTTTCAGTGAAACAGATGTTACTAAAGCCTCCTTGTAATCTGTTCTATTAGATGATACATCTCCCTGAATATTAGAATACAGGCAGAAAGTAAGAAAAAAAAGAAAACATCATTTCCAACCAAGCTTCCATGAAATGAGGCCCATGGCCAACTCCCCTCTGTTTCACTTGTATCGTTATCATCAGTTACCAATAATGCATCAAGGGACAGAAAAGTGGAAGCCCCTCCCAGGTTTTAAGAGAAAAAATGGTTTGTGCAAAGTCAAACTTACCTTTGTTGAATTTGATTCGTCAACAGTGCTGCATAGACAACTATGAGGAGATAGTTAAGCTTCTTCTGAACCACGGGGCTAATGTCAATGCAAAGGACAATGAACTGTGGACTCCTCTGCATGCGGCCGCAACATGTGGGCACATCAATCTGGTGAAGATCCTGATTCAGCAGTAGGTGGTACTTTGATTCTTTGTTTTCTGGTGGGTTAGCTTTTTGTGGGATATTCTGGACACTGGCTGTGGATCTTTGTGCTTCTTCATTTGTGGCAAATTCCTATGTTTTAACTACCACCAAGAGTGCCCCATATAGCAAGAGTGAGGAATATTTCAGAGTGACAGCCAAATTCAATTTCAGAGATATTTGTAGGGGCAGCATTGCATCTTGGATTCTGTGCTGGGAGAAAGGTAGAATATAAATTAATTAAATAAAAACCAAATGTGTATACTAGCATATTTTTGCCCACAGCTCTTCACTACTGCCAGAAGTTAAGCTTGAGGTGAGGCAGTTGAACCTGTTATTATGGGAAAAGGCACATAGACATTAGGAAACTATCAAATGGTCTTGTATAGGGAAGCAGACATGGCTAAGTCAGAAATCAGAGAGAGCTGGATTGGGAACCTACAGATTTTGACGTTTCTTACCACTGACTTATAGGATCTGCAATTTGAGACATTTTCTGGAACTTCACATCAGACCAATATCCTTGTCCAAAATTATTGAACCTTAGACTAGCCCCTTCAAGGTATTGGCCAGTTGAAGGATGGTCAGGTAAGGGGGCAGCACTTTGAGAAGCCTTTACAAAAATGTTGAAAGAGAGTTAAAGAACGTGTGCCATTAGGAGAAAAATTTCACATCTCCAGATTCATTGCACTCTATATTTTAGCATTCCTCTTCTGCTATTTGGTAAAAGCAGTGTACTCTTCCATCTTGTCAGTGAAGTAGAAACAGTGGGTCATAAACTAAATAAATATTTATGTGAAATAAATAAAACACAATAACAGGGAAAATATAAGTTTAATTAATATGTTAGTATTAATGATAACATTAAGTATAGATTTGCTTGGTGGTTGCTGAGTGGGAGCTAAAATCCAGGAATATCTGGAGGCCCATAGGTTTCTCATCTTGGCTTTAAAATGAACGTTTTATTTATAGATATTTTGGAGTAACAATATTCGAAGAGCAGTAAGCTTCCAAATCCTGTTTTTAAAATTGGTCAGAATGTAGTTGATTAGTCGTTTGCCAGTTTCTGACACTGGTCGATGTCTGGCTGGTTATCTAGTGCCTTTTGATATTATGGGTAAGGATATGTTTCAGCTAGGCATGTTTTGCATAATTAAGGAAGAATGGGAATTTAGGTTTACTTTAAACTCCCTGCATCAATCTAGTTCTCTCTTTTTCCTGTCATCTATCTGGAACAAAATTCACTGGTAACTATATTCATTAAAGAAGATGTCAGGCCCAATTCCCAGTGCATCTACGTAAGATAAATAATGTTAGCTAGCAAGAGTTTTATCTCCACCCAAGATACTGGAAAATGAGAGTAGTGAATCTGTATATGGTTTTCTAATTGCACAGTGGCAGATAGGAAGGCGCTCCAGAGAATTACCATTACTGTCCAGAATTATTGGTTGCCCTCTCCCCTCTTTGGAAAAACTTTAAAATTCCCACTTCCTTAAGAAAGTTCAAAATATTCTTAAGGATATAGGATGATAAAAAATAAGGACAAATAGGCTGAGAGTTAGCTTTTAACTTAGAGCTGTGACTGTATTGAACTCTATGGTTTTACACTGATGTGGCATTCAGGGTTGTGCAGTAGTGATTAGAATGTAGAAAGATGAGTGTTTTGTTTTGTAATTCTACATATATAATGTAATTAGGGATGGCATTTAATTCTATTGTATGATGTACAATGACATTAAAGATATTATATTATATTCTAGTGAATGGATAGATAAATAATATTTGATAAAAAAGCTTCCTATCTGCAAATATAAAATAGTTTGCATTTATTATATTCCATCCCTGTAGGAGTCTGTGCTGCTAAATTCAACCTGAAAACAAATTAACCACAAAAATAATTAAAACAACTAAATTAATAAATAGCAACATTAACAGAAAATGGAAACAGTGTCCAGATTTATAAACCAGGTTAGTTAAAAATTAGGTAAGTTAAAAAAAAGTAATTTCACAAAATAGGCAATGAAACAACAACCAAACCATCTTGGCTCATCCTATCAAAAAGTCTATAAGACATTCACCCAAATGTAGGGTAGAGTCCCATAGTTTGGTGTTACTGATGTCCCATAAGCTGGAGAGATATGTAGCAAAGTATTTCTTAGTGACTGTAGTTATGGTTCTTCAGATGTCTTGAAGGCTTTAAAAGAAACGCTTTGAAACTAGACTATGGAGTCTTGCTTTCTACATTTACAACATACTTTTTGGAATATGAGATTATTTTTTTTTTAAAAAAAAAGTAAACAATACAAACGTGATCTCCACCATTTCATGCTTTTGATGTAATGTCTCATTACACCCTCCTTCAGCAGGTTGTTGGGAAGACACAGTTGCTAGTGGGGGCTTCATATACATTGCCCTAAACTCCTTGAGGGACAAGGGAAATGCAAATATAAAAAGATTAATAAATCCCACTTAGCTTGTGCCTCAGTAATAAGAACGTTTTAGTCTTTGTCCCGTATCAGTTGACTCTCTGTACCAGAAGGGGCTGTAGGGTACAATTTTGTTTTGTTTTGTTGCAGAATACAACACAGCATGTGGTTGTTCCAATCAAAGTCTCAATCTGTAAAAAGGCTTTCAGATCAAAAAGCCTGTTTAAATATAGAATCAAAAGGCTTCAGTGTCAGAACATGGAGCCCAGAGAGACCTGTAGAAGTAGCAGTAGTACAAAGAATGTCTGATCCTGTGCTTTGTTTGCTGATTTAGACACACACTATAAAATAGCTGGCTAGTGCGGTTTACATTGTAATTTCCTCTGTTCTCATGGGGAAGAAAAAAATGAACATGAATATCAATGCAAGTGGTTGCTTGGTCTTCACTTCAAAGTCTGTAAATGTCAAGACAGATCAAGTGTAATCTGTGTTAGAATATTATTTTCGCATCGAAGCTTCATGTGGTTCTGAATGCAGAATATGGCAGTTTTGTCACACTTGGTACCTTTCATAAAATGATCCCATCTTAGTAATTGCTGAGAAAAATGTGGGCATGAGAACAAAGAAAATGTGTGTGTCCAGTGCACATCTTGAACATGCACAGTAACTCCCAGAATCCTCCAGTAAGCATGATTATCGGGCTTACTCTCTGGTGGTAACAAATCCCTAGTCTAATGACTTTTTCCTCTACTTGTAGTTGAATGCATCACTCTCTATCCCAATATTGTTAGAGACATGCTTTGTTTGGAATGCAATAAAAGGCCTTCTTAGTTGCTGCTCCCAGAGATTGGAGCTCCTTGACAGAGGAAACCAAGCTATCCCCATCTTTACTGGCAACATTTTTATTAAAATACAGGCTTTTGGCTTTTAAGATGTTTTCTGCTATATCTTTCCACAGGATGATAATGTTAATTTCTTCTTACATATTTTAAATTGTGTACATGTATGCTATAGCTACAAGTTTCTATTTTGTCTTATGCTGTAGTGATGTTCAACACTTCGGGCAGAAAGGCAGGGTGTGAATATAATAAATAAACATTAGTTTAATTAAATCTATATAAATGTGTCAGCCAGGCATTGAATGCACAGTGTGAGATGGTGGCTCTTTTGCAAGCAAACAAAGAATCCATGAAGGCAATTTACTTGTTGGAATCTTCAAATGGTAGAATGATTCCATGGAAGGCAAGATACAACAATGCGTATTACTAACAATGGCAATCCTCAATTTCAGTAGAAATTTCATTGGCAGTTCCTATAATAGGGTTGTTATAAGTCAGAAATGACTTGAAGGCAGATAGCAGTAACAACATCTCAAAGATGTGCCTTCTAAATCATGGTACTCTTGATGTAGTTAACTCCTCATATGGTTTTGTTAAAAACAGTGTTTGATATATCAGAAAAATATACAATAATTTAAAATTGTGAGATGTACATTAGCTTTTTTGGATCTAAATTCTCTGAAGGCACCAGATACTGTCTGAACTTTGAAGCTAAGTAGGATGAAGACTGGTTTGTACTTGGATGCAGGATCACCAAAGAATATCAGGTTTCCTAGATTACCTTTCAGAGGAAGGCAATGGCAGCATATCTCTAAATAGGTCTTTCCTAAGAAGACCCTACTAAATTCATAGGGCCAGGATACATTGACAGGTGACAAGAAGGCACATACAAGCACAATGGAAGTAATATATAAGCATTATGACTAGTAATAATTCTCTTCCCCGTGTGTTTGAGTTTTCATGTCTCCTATTGAAAGCCTCTGGTGGCCCTGGTTTCTAGGTGTGTGCATCTCTCTCATGTATGGCTTTCTTCTTGCAGTGGGGCAGACCTGCTGGCAGTAAATGCAGATGGCAACATGCCATATGACCTCTGTGAGGATGAACCAACTCTAGACATCATTGAGACTTGTATGGCATACCAGGGTAAGACAGGATCTGAAAATCTTGAGTATGGGACTTGCTTGCATTTTTCTATTTCCCGTGGTGCTTTTTAATGTGGAAGCTGAACAGCTACACAGGAGTGAGCAACAGCAACAGATCTGGGACCTATTTTCTACTCCTAGACTGCTAGAAATGCCAAAAAGCAAATGCAAAACAGAGAAATTGCCAGAAGCACACTTTAATTTATTATTATTGGTTTTTTTAAAGTTAAATACTACAACGGGGTCCTGCAACCTATTTAAAAGGTGATGTTGCTTACCTGGAGTTCCTGGAAAGGCAATTCACTTTTGGGGGAGCAAGAAATAGGTGTGGTCAGGGGAATCTAGAGAGGTTGATGACTACTGCAACAGCCTTGAAAGGGGCTTTGCCTAGCTTGATCTAGGACATAAAAACTACAGTCCTGTACATGCTTAACAAGCAGGATATTTCCATTTCACCACAGTGGTTAATGCACTGATAACCTCCTAATTATTCTAATGTAATTCAATCTGCATGAGGCTGCCCTTGGAAGCTGCACCTAGTACAAAATGCAGTGGCTTGATTATTGACTGGAATACAATGTTGACATCTTATAATGACAGTCCTAAAAGAATGCACTGACTGTCAATATGTTTGTGGTCTGAATTCAAGATGCTTCTGATGACATTTAAAACTAATAGGGAGCTCAATACTTGAGGGAGTGCCTCAATTGTTTGCTTTAAATCTGCTGGGGAGAGGATGATCAATACACCAATTAGGTCAATACACTGTTTGCAGAATTTGTATAATTTCCTCCTCTTAGTGGCCCAATTGACAGCAACATTGGTTCCACTTAGGCAACAAGTAAGAAACATGGCTACTTATCAAAGCTTTTGGACCTCACTGATTTATTTCAAAATGAAAAGGCAAATTGTTTTAAAGATTGCTCAGAATGGTTTTAACTTGTTTACATTGATTCTACTTTTACACCACCCTGAGATATTTTTTATATAGACAGGTATAGAAATGTTTTAATATATAAATATATGCATTATTTATATAGGGATAGAATTGCACTTTTAAGGTATCATTCTGCATTCATGAAAGGTTTTAGGTTTAATGTATAGCGGGAGTGGTCTATAAGTGTCACCTTTGAGATTAACCCCCCCCCAAAAAAAAAACTTTAGAATGTAGGGGTTTTGTATTTTTTTGCAATGTTTAAATGTTTATTGGGCCAATTTACAGTAGTCCCAAGAGAAATCTTCTTTTGAAACAAGAAGTGAAAAAAGGTTTTTGGCCCACAGACCAAACATGCTAATTTTCACCATACTTCAAGCCCCCTCCCCTGCCCCTTTTTAAATAACACAGGATAAGCAGAAGTCATTATTTCAGGGGTTCAGTGGGGCAGGTACTGCCCTCTGTTTCCTGGGGATCTAATGTGACCATCATTGCCCATCAGGTGTACTCTTCATGAACCAGTACTGGGCTGTTGAACAAAAGAAAGCCACTTTTCCATTCAAATGTGAGCATCAGGCCCTTGCTATGATGCACATCAGAGCTTCAAGCTTGATGCTTATGGCTACAGTTCATTTACATCCAGCCATTCCATCCACTATAAGTGTTGCTTTCTCTTGTTCTGTATATGTGCCCCACATCCAACCAGTATGGAGTTTCAGTGCTTAGCAGGGGTTTCTGTAGTTCAGTCCCCTTAGCAAGGGTTTACTCTGGAGTTTTAATGATATAAAATTTCTTCACATAGATACATGAATCCTGATGCATTTGGGAAAGGGAGATTTAGAGCTGACAAAGAGTGGGATGGGATGCCTAATCTTTTCCTCATTTGTTTTACTTAACCACCCCTTTTTTCCTCCCAAAAAATCTTGACTTCCCCATCATGTAATATGAATCATGTGTTTCTGAGGGCAAGCATTCCTCATTGAGGAGCCTTTTTTCTTAACATAAGGACTACATCATATCTGTCTTGTATAGGTTTCCTTATAAGTCTGCCAAACAATTTCCACATAAAATAAATATGACTGGATGCTGTCGCCAAGAGTCTAAATTTTATCCAACTTGCAAAAAAAGTTATTTTCACTGTCATTCTCCTCTTGTTCACTGTAGGCATCACACAAGAGAAAATCAATGACACGCGAGCAGCTCCAGAACAGACAATGGTTGATGATATCACAGAGCTTATAGCAACTGGGCAGGAACTGAACATAACAGATGCACAAGGTGCTACATTGGTAAGACACATTTCATTGTGTGTGTGTGTGTGTGTTTTAGCTCAGGGGATGCTTGAATTAAAAAACTGTTTGCTTTTGAATACAACAAATCTTGCACATCATCAACATTTTAAGCATTCAATTTTGGGGAGCATTGCAAGCTTAAGAAATGACTGATACTTAAATCGGGCAAAACTTTTATTTTAAAAAAATATTGTGTTCCACAGTGCAAACAACCATTTTCCCCTCACTTTTCAATGAGTGTTCAAGGGGTTCAATGAGAACTCCAAGATTGTTTCTATGGTTCACAGTGGAAAGTAGTATGTTTGTCATATCCACAATAAGCCAAGTTTCCTGCAGAAATCTGGTTTGTTGTAATGTCCAACCATACTTCTTGTAACTTTTCCTTGGAGCAGGTCCATGTCACTAGGTTGAGGAGCCTGACTTTTTCTAGCTGATCGTTGTTTAATTTGTCTTTTTTTTTTAAGCTGTGTGGTTTTGGGGGGTGGAAGTGCTGTCTATGTCTTCCCCTCGCACACTGTGTGAGGAAAATAAAGGATTTACAAAAATCTATCTACTATTGTAATACCCATGACCCAAAGGAGGGTTGCTGGACAGTTGCTTTAAAGACAGCAAACAATAGCAAAATGCGATTCCACGTGAAACAACTAACAAAGAAAGCCAGGAAAGCAACAGTACATAGTATAGAATAATATTTGTTTGTTGGGAAATTATAATGTGGCTTGGTCTTCTGTTGATTTTTAACAGTTATTTTATTCTTTATTGATAAACATATATTATTTTATCCTATCACTTGTTGATAATCTGTTCTAACTAAAGTAACATTTTCAAGCATTAATTTGGTTGCATCTAATTTGATCTAAAAACAACTTGGTCCAGTGTGATGTTGATGTTAATATTCAGTTGTGGATGTTAGTCTTTCACAATTGATAGTGGAGTACTTTACTAGCAGTATTATTCATTCATGTGAAATTCCACTATTGGTTACATAAAACTGTATCCATTGGTTCTATTCAATGGAATATGGGTGCACTGAGAGGCCAAAAATATGTGCATAGATAATAGATATGTCAATTTATTTCCCCAAGTCAGTGTCAGTAGCAGAAGGAGCCATACAACATTGTTCCCCAGTTCAATTAGGATATTGGATTAGAAAAAGCAGTACCCAGTATTCAGAAATTTACTATGAATAATCAAAGAACAAAATTAGTGTTTAAAAAATGGTCTAACTCCACAATAGCCTCAGACTGATGAGACCCAAACAGAATTGGATGAGATATTAGTACAAAGAAGTCTGGCCCAAGATAGAACTTAGGTTTCTGGTTATATTCAGCTGTGGGGAATATATTGTTGAGATGCCATTTTAAAAGCTACTGTATTCTTCTTCTTTTAGTTACATATAGCTGCTGCCAATGGATATCTGCATGCAGCAGAGATCCTTCTTGACCATGGAGCAAGACTGGACCTCAAAGATTGGGATGGCTGGGAACCCCTCCATGCTGCTGCCTTCTGGGGACATGTATGTGTTTCAGTGAACCTATTTCAAAGAAGACAGATCTAGCTATGGTTATTTGGCATAAGCCCATATACTATTAAATGTAGGTTTTGATTCCTTCATAATCTGCTTGTTGACTTCTTTAAAACATTTCACTAGCTATAGTAGGAAGCAAGAGGCTGCTTGGCTAGATGAATCTTCAGTTTGGTGCAGACTGGTGAAAAGTTATAGTGTTCATTTTGGGTAGTGGTGATAGTGATGACTTTTATATTAGTTTCTGTAAGAAACAGCAATTGTTTTGAATGCTGCTAACAATTTGGGTCCTTTGTTCTTTATTCCAGATGCACATGGCAGAATTGTTAGTATCCCATGGTGCAAGTTTGAGTGCCCGGACAGCCATGGATGAGATGCCAATAGGTGAATTGTAATTCTGTCCTTCTTTTGTAGTTTCTGTTCTTTGATAAATATTGGAGATCTCCTTAGGCAGTCCAGTTACATTAAAAGGATCTGAGTCTCTTTCAGAGCTACTTGTTCATCCTGTCCTTTCCCTCAAAATGGCTCACCTCCATGTCAAAGAAAAGCTGCAGTTTTTAAAGAACCTTTTTGCATTAAATGCTTCTATCCTTTATAATGTAAAAAAGGGTTGACATTGGCTAAACATTGTCAATGATGACTCTAAAAGGGATTTATGGACTATGAAGGATTTCCATGACCAAAAAGTCTTTGAAGACTGCAAGCGAAAGATATACTAAAGCCTTGTTTCTACTGATAAGACTATTCATTCAATGTTTATGGGTTAAAAATAGTTTGTTAAACATAACAATAGTTTCAGAGGAAGCCCCATAGAAGGGCAAAGTGCTCCTCCTTGTCTGTTGTCATCATCCTCTGTGGTTTAGTAAATATGTAATTGCTGGATTAAATTTCTCAGGGATTGCTGTTGCATAAGAAAAAAAGGCTGTACACCTATGGGTTGTAAATGTAATTGTCCCTTGAAGTTTATACTTTTCCACATTTCTGGATGCTCTCAGCTGAGAAATGTGTCAAACGTGTCTTAAAAATGGAAATCTTGAGAGGAAATGCATTTAGACAGTATTTTGTCTAAATACTGTCTAAAGGGAGACAGACTGCATATCCTAGTATACAAGTTAATCTCATACACACACACAGTAGGAACAAAAGAGGATGAATTAATGGCTACAATTTGTACATATTTATATATAGAAAGGGGACATGGACTGGAAGTACACTGATCTTTGCATTCTTAGCATCAGTGAATTTTCAAGGAAGGTATGCTAAAACTGAACATGCTTATTGCATCTTTCCTGCAGTCCTCCTACACTGAACACAGTGGATGTTCATGACCTTGTAGTACTCCAGATAAATGCAACGTGTGAGCAGAACTTTAATTATCATGCCAGTTTCTCCCTTGAAGCATCATTTTCTCAGAGTCGCTCACCTCAAGGATTTGGTTTGCATTCATTTAGACCTCTGTGAAGAAGAGGAATTTAAGGTTCTACTCTTAGAACTGAAGCACAAGCATGACGTCATCATGAAATCTCAGATGAGACACAAGACCTCTTTGAGCCGGAGGACTTCCAGCACTGGAAGCAGAGGGTGAGTGAGCAAGACAATTCCCTGTTGCCTGGATACAAGCCGGTTCATATACATGCAGGGCAAATATACATACTTGCAAACTGCAACTGAAAATTATACTTAGGATGCTGCTCTTTCACACATATATGTACATCCGTACAACTTGATCTGTGTTTCCCCGTCTTTTCTTTAAAGTGGAGGAATACAGCAACCCTGCATATTTTAAGCTGTGGAAGTGACCAGTTCTTACTCGTTCTGTGAGCCAATGTAAATGTTCAGAGTTATGAACCTAAGATTTTTTATTTAAACTCAGAGGTTAAAACCTTGTATAAAGTAAGAGGACTAAAAGTTCTACTAGAGTAGTTATGCTTAGACTAATGTGTTGGTAGAGAAGCATAGAAGCATTGTTGTTGTTGCTGCTGCTGCTGCATGCCTTCAAGTTGTTTTCAACTTATGTTGAGCATAAGGCAAATGTATCACAGGGTTTTCTGAGGCTGAGAAGGAATGATTTGCTCAGAGATTCAAACCCTGGTGTCCTGAGGCACAGTCCACATTCAAATCACTATGCCACACTGCCTCCTAGAAGCATTAATCCTGGTAGCAAGTGGGAGAGTTTTCTAAAGGCACTGCCATTGCCAGGGGAGCTGTGTGCAGGTACTATTCATTTGGCAGATATTGAGTTGATGAGCAAGAATTCTTGTAAAGAGATTTTACACATACATCGATTATGCCCAGTTGTACTAGCGTGAAGTCCAAATAGGGTTTTGGTCTGACTTTCTGTCTCATAGACGATTTTGACCATATAGGCCTAGCAGTGTGGATCTGAGATAAGAAAGCTGCTCTGCTACAGGAACTTCTGCAGGCTAAAATCTGGCCACTTTGCTTACTGGAGTAAACATAATTTTAATTGTTAGTTAATATATGCCACTATTACTGAACATGTTGTTTTAGGAAATGATGGAAGAAAACCATGTTGGTTTCAAACAGTTTATTATGGAGCCATGGTGGCACAATGGGTTACACCCTTCTGCTGGCTGAACTGCTGACTTGCTGGTTGGCAATTCGAATCCGCGAGACAGAGTGAGCTGCCATCTGTCAGCTCCAGCTTCCCTTGCAGGGACATGAGAGAAGGCTCCCACAAGATGGTAAAACATTTGGTCATCCCCTGGGCAACATCCTTGCAGACAGCCAATTCTCTCACACTAGAAGTGACTTGCAGTTCCTTAAGTCGCTTCTGACACGATAAAAAGGCAGTTTATTGGAGAAGTTTCAGCTGTATCATCGTGTTAAAACAGAAAAAAAAGAGAAGAGATGGAAAATGACAAGGGATGAATCATATGCCTAAACAACTTTGGAGTATCATATGCCTAGGCAACTTTTTTTTTTTTGTTGCAAATGGAGTTGAAATTTTATTGTGTGTGTGATATCCCTGTTGAATTATTATGACCCCTTTAGTTTCATTGGGTTTTCTTAGGCAAGGAATACACAAAAGTTGTTTTGCTAGCCCACAGCACCTGATATTCATTGGCAGTCTCTCCCAAAATAGTACTAACCACATCTGACCATGCTTAGCCTACAAGGTCTGCCAGAATCTAATGCCTTTGAGGTATTTAGAGCCATTATCTGTCTTTTAGTATTCCTTGTCACCTATGATAGAGAACGGAGGTTGATGCAGCCTGCTATCCATTTATTCTCAATCTTTGCACCCTGTGATAAGGGTCAGAACTTGCTAGCATGGAATTGAGGGAAATCTAGTGGCCACTTTTCATTGCCGTATTCATCAACTGTTGTATTTTATTAGGGTGGGCTATGCTGGAAAAGGTGGTGAACGCATATCTTACTTTGAGATATGGCATTTAAAACAGAGAATAGGGAAAATTAGAATAATCTATGACACAATATATCCAATCTGAATATGAAAAGTACACAGTGAAGAAAGCTGACAGGAAGAAAATGAATGCATTTGAAACAAGGTGCTGGAGGAGTGTTCTACAGATACGATTGAGTGCTAAAAGACAATTAATGGAAATTAATGGAAATCATGCTAGAGGCCTAGATAGAAGACAAGATAATTAAAATGTTTGGACTCATCATGGGATGAAGGACCTCCTTGGAAAGAGCAATTATGTTTGGTGAAGTGGAAGGCAATAGGGGAAAAAAATCACACTACAGGTGGATTAATTCAGGAAGCTGTGCCTATGTGTTTGCTCTTAGAAGTCTCTCATTTATATGGTTCCTGTATGTTGATGTCAAATTAATGGCAAATGCCAAAAGCAACAGGAGGTTAGGGTTAAAAGGCAAAAGGAAGCCTGCTGCACATCTATAATAGCTTTAATAATAACTTTATTATTGTATCTTGCTATCATCTCCCCAAAGGGACTTGAGGCAGCTTACACATGGCACAAGTGCCTAAAAACAAAACATGAAATGAAGCATAATATAAAATACAATTGAACAAAACATACAGGCATATAAAACAATAACTTAAGACGTGGTCAGGCTGTAAACAATAGGACAAGGGAATGGGATAAGTGCAGAGTTGTAACCATGGAACAAGGGCATGGGATGAAGTGCCATGCTGCATAACTATTGCATAGAACAAATAAGGACTAGGCGTTATCAACAGCTTGCTTGAACAACCAGGTCTTCAGGTCCCTACAGAAGGACAGAGTGGGGGCCTGCCTCATCTCCCTGGGGAGGGCATTGCAAAGCCAGGGGGCCACCACTGAGAAGGCCCTCTCCCTCAACCCCACCAACCACACTTGTGACAGTGGCGGGACCAAGAGGAAAGCCTCACCCCCCTGGCAGATCTTAGAGCCTGTGCTGGGTCATAGGGGGGGATGCCGTCATGAAGATAGGCAGGACCCAAACCGTTTAGGGCTTTATAGGTAATAACCTGCACTTTGAATTGGAATCAGAAGCTTCTCAGCAGCCAATGGAGCTGTTTTAGTAGGGGCATCATGTGCTCCCATAGCCAGCTCCAGTTAGTTGCCTATGGCAGATGCAGGCAACTTTGACAATGGGAGCCACATTTTCACTGATGCATCCATTTCTGCTTTTGATTGGGTAGTAGGGGTCGCTGAATGTTGCTCCCTTAGTGTCAGTAAATCACCATTTTGAGAGCTCTCCAGGAGTTAGTTGAAGAAAGCTTGTTCGCTTAAAATGCTTGTTGTCATAGGACAGTTCTTCCTGACATAATCCAATGAAAATGAGATAACAACTGAAAGAAATTGTGTGTGCATATGCATGCATGTATGCATATATATTTAGAAATCAATATGAATATTGCTGCACAAACAGCTATATCTTACATTAGGTGGTATCTATTCTAAGTAGCCTGACTTAATTTTCAGATTAATACATTTTGTTTGCACTATTGGACTTAAACCGAGAGATTGGCCCAAGGCGGCATGGAGATATGAAGCTAAGTTTGAAATTTTCTCTTTGAGAGTTGGAAGTGCTTTCTAATAAATAAAAAGATATGTTCAACAAAATAGGCAAGTCATACAAAAGCACAGTTCCTCAGATGGATGATCTCAGAATATTTTCACTTAATCATCTCATGAAAGTTTCAGTGATAATTATGTTGTTGTTTTTTAATTTTATATTTACTGAGTAATAATTAGGTAACTTTTCATGTCTGTTAATAAATCCTGAAGGTAAATATGGACAACATTGTGAAGGTTCTTAAAATACTTTGAAATTGGTCTTCACACTTAGGGGTCATCTGTAAAAGAATGTCCATTCCATTTCATTAATTATCCTCTCAGTAATCCTCCTTCTCCTTGTGTCTTTTCTTCAGTAAAGTGGTGCGGAGGGCAAGTCTCTCTGACAGAACAAACCTTTACAGGAAGGAGTATGAGAAGGAGGCAATTATCTGGCAGCAAATAGAAGCTTCAGAAGAGCAAAGAACCTCTGATTATACTGGGGACATCCGGGAGACTTACTCCAACCAAGAGAACACAAATCCAGTAAGAGACAAAGTATTGACTTATTATTGTTTGTATGAGGATTAAGTCATTTCCAGGCAGGGAAACCATGGCAGCCCAAAGGAGTGTGTTAACAAATTGTACCACACAATACAAATTCCAGTATTTAAATCAAGCCAATCATTGTGTATACTTCCAAAATTCCTTGTTAGGCTGATGTTCTCCAACTTTCTTGGATAAATTATGCTAAACGCAAAAAAGAGTGTAAGGAGTGTCTTCTATATAAGCCACCTTAACCTATTTTTACACCTATCAGAACATAATAGAGCAGGCTTCCCCAACCTGGTGCCTTCTGGATGTATTAGGTTTCAGCCACCATCATTCCAACCAACATCATTGATGGCTGTGCTGCCTGGGAAGCTGTAGTCCAACACAACATGAAGATTATAGTGAATGTATTGCCCATGGAAACCAGTAAACACAGGCAAAGTATTGATCTAACAGATATTGGATAGTCACGGCTTCATTTCTCCATTTTTGTTTTGTTTCAGAACTCTACAGGAGATATGTCCATAATCCTTCCAGAGCTGGTAACCAAAAGCACACAATGTGACTCTGACACGTTGCTCCAAAATGGACTCAATTTATCCTCTCCTACTTATCAATACTCTGTTCCCAATGGAGATGTTTGGAAGATGCATTCTGCTTTGGACAATGATGTAAGCCAAACATTGCCCTATGATACTTCTGCAGTCTCCGACTCTCAGCAAATCTGGGGTGGTTACAAAGAAAGGAGTCATCAAACCCTCTCTGAACTGAAACGGCAGCGAGCAGCTGCCAAACTTCTCAACCACCCCTTCATCAGTACGCACTTTGGTAGCACCGTGGGAAGCACAGCAGAAAATGGGGGAGAAGCAAAAGAGCACCTGATTACCTCCAGGACTCCTACTTACACATCCAATGGGACTTCAGTTTATTACACAGTATCAAGTGGTGATCCACCTCTCTTAAAATTCAAAGCTCCCATGGAAGAAATGGAGGAGAAAGTACATGGGTGTTGTAGGATCTCTTGATCTAAATTCATTCCTCACTGGTGTAGATACCAAATTTGGGTGGGCATAATACATCAATTACTGAATTTTGGTTGTTACCACTGCTAAATGGGAGAACCTGGATTGGTCATCCCTGGCCAGGATCTACCAGGCTTATTCATTCATAGTACCTTACTTTGCTATGGCAATTCCATTGAAATCAAGCAAGTACAGGCAAAAAAGAGAAGTTCATGGGGAAAATTCATTTTCATAAACTGGTGCGAAAGATAATTAAATCCATTGGATTTTACATCCTGTCTAATTTAGAATCTCCTTGTACCACTATGCTCCTGAAAACTGGCACTTTGGGAACACAAAATCTCTCATCACATCCTTGGTTTGCCACTATCAACAGTATGTGATTAGAATCCAGCACTTTTATAAGCCAAGTTGGACTATAGAAAGACCCAGTTTTGCACACAGGAGATATATGCACTTTAACAACAAATCAGAAAGTTTAGCCTGTTATGAAAGAACACATTTGTGACATTATTTATTGTATTGCCAATTTTGAGCCATTATTTCTCGCAGTACTCTTTACATAAAAACAGATGTAGGTCATGTCTGCAAGCTTCCACCCTTTCATAAAATGAGGGGATATTCTTAGCTCTTTAGAGGAGTAATACAATTAAAAGGAGTTTATGGTCAATGTATAATATTCTTCACCAGTAATCCTTTTACTTTGCACTTGTACAGATTCAATTTTCTCATCAGTTCAAGTTTTATCATGTTTCATCAGAGAATTGTGGGCTTTGATTTTCTCCAAAGCTGTTAGGAAGTTTCTTCTCTGACTCGAACTTTATTTCTCACCATGCTATGTTTTTCATTAGCCTGCATTGCTATACCTATGAGATAATTTAAAATAGTTCTTAAATATTAATGTATGTAATTTACCTATTTTTGGAACATTTTATTGTTGTTTTTCATGTATTTCTCTTTATATTTATCACTGTTTGTTTTTCCTCAGCGTTTCTTTCTGCTAAGACCAATAAAGGAATTTGGTGGGCAGAATTTTTAAGTTTGAAAATATCTAATTTTAACAAATGTAGGTAGTTGCACATCAAGGAAAATGGGATGTGGCCACTAAAAATAGTATATCCGAGTTGAGTTCTCCATCATAACATGGAGTTATACTTATTCCATGCTGTGGTGTATGGCATGATGCATTGCCCCATCCCACAGCTGGTAATGAAGAAAGAACCCATATCATAACATTAATGCAAGTGTTATTGTAAGTTACAACAGAAAGTAGCCTTGTGACTTCTTTAACATATGATCCCACCCACTTGGAAAAAGCTATCACCTAGCAATACTTTTAGGATACACTTATAGAAGGCACTAAAGCCAAGGGCTGGAAATATATTCTACACTCACAAATAAATGTGTGACCTTGCACATTCCAAACTTTGCACATTTTATGTTGCTGGTAACACCACTGGTCTTTGAAAGCTTTTAACGTGTTACTGTTTTGCACTTCACAACAAGCTTGTCTTTGCCCCAAGATATTAAGTTTTGGAACCCTTCTCAAATGCTTCTTAGCTGCACATTGGTACTGTCTTTAAAAAAAAGATTAGATTTAGAATTCTTTCTCTAATCACCAAAGTAGCAGCCATTTAGCAAAACCAAGATATAACTTGCAAAACTGGCATATTTTCCTGATGACTGAGGTAGACAAGGTGAGATTTTCCAGATGTAGGTGAACTGCCGCTGTAAGCATTCTTTACCACTGGAAATGCTGAGAAGGAAAGTGGTCACAAAACCCTCCATATTAGCAGTGCTGTTTCAGCAGTGTGAATCTCATTTTGCAGAACTTCATTGAAGCACAGCTGGAGTTAGAGAAGTAAACAAAAATTTTAAAAGAAAATCTTATTTACAAGGCATAATTCCAGTGCTTTCCAAACTTTGGTCCTTCAGATACTTTGGATTTCAGCTCCCAGGATTTCCCTAGCTTCTGAGCGAAGCTGGTTAGGACTTCCGAGAAGGAAAATCCAAACATCTGGAGAATCAAAGTTTGAGAACTGCATTATTCAGTCCATTCTATAGACATCTCTTCCAGCATAATTATCCAGGTTCACTCCATACTTTGCTTGCCCAGATAGTACATTTTATACCATGAATTTCGAAAAACAGTCCAAAAGACAAAGAATTGTCCTGTGATAGAAATATTTTTAGTATATAATTTCCTTGACTGCTTCTTACACATTTTGCACAAAAATCAGGATATTTGACCATTTAATTGTTGGTCCTCACCTAGGTTTTTTTTTCTTCTGCAAATTTATCAAAGTTTTACTTACTTACTTACTTACTTACTTACTTACTTACCTAGGGGTACCCTCAAGGGCGAGTATGATTGCCTTCCAAGTGTAGGGTCTGGGTGGTAGGTCCGTAGGTGGCTGTAGAGATGTGCATGTTCTTTCACACTGAGAGCATAGGTTTCCAGATGGAAAGCAGACCCGGTCAGGGTTGGCTTGACACACCTTCCTTTTGACACATTTCTCTTTCTCGTCCTCTGTTTGTGCCCCTTCAAATTCCACAGCACTGTTGGTAACAGCTGACCTCCAGTTAGAACGCTCAGGGTGAGGGCTTCCCAGTTCTTGGTGAAGCTTAAGCATAGCTTTAAGCCCATCTTCAAATCTCTTTTCCTGTCCACTAACATTCCATTTTCCATTCTTGAGGTGGGAGTATAGTAACTGCTTTGGAGGACGGTGCTCAAGCATTCGGACTATGTGGCCAGTCCAGCGTGATGGTCTGCTTCTTCCAGCACACTGACATTTGCCCACCTGTCTGCCCAAGAGATTTGCAGGATTTTTCAGAGGCAACATTGATGGAATTGGACCAGAAGTTTAGTGTGATGTCTATAGACAGTCCATGTTTCGCAGGTGTATAACAGGATTGGGAGGACAATATAAACAAGCATATTGGTATCCCTGTGAATGTCCTGATCCTCAAACACTCTCTGCTTCATTCAGAGAAACGCTGCACTTGCAGAGCTCAGGTGGTGTTGTATTTCAGTGTCAATGCTGATTTTGTGGAGAGATGGTTGCCAAGGAAGCGAAAATGGTCAACATTTTTAACATCACACCATTAAGCTGTATTTCTGGCATTGTCTGGTGCCTGCTGAAAAAGCACTTTGGTTTTCCTGATGTTCAGTGAGAGGCCAAGTTTTTTGTATGCTTCTACAAAGGTGCTTAGCGTGGCTTGTAGGTCTTCTGAGTGAGCACAGACTATGTTATCATAAGCATATTAGAATATCATAGCACTGAAGATGGAAAATAAGATGATTTCCAGTGGGAAGCTTCTCATCAACAAGGAGCAGTATCATAGTGATGAAGATGGAGAATAAGGTTGAGCAATAGCACATCCCTGTTTGACACCTGATTCCACCTTAAATTTGTCACTTTGGGAGCCATTGCTGTCCAAGTCTGTTGCCCTCATGTCATTGTGAAGGAGCCACAGGATGTTCACAAATTTGTTAAGGTACCTGATTCTTTGGAGGATGGTCCAGAGAGCGCTGCCATTCACTGTGTCAAATGCCTTTGTGAGGTCAATGAATGCCATGTAAAGAGGTTGATTTTGTTCCCTGCATTTTTCTTGGAGCTGTTGTGCAGTGAAAATCATATGCACTGTTCCTCTGGAGGGGCAGAAACCATTCTGGGATTCTGGGAGGATGTCTTCTGAGATAGGTAAAAGCCGGTTTGCAGGAATTCTTGTGAGGATTTTCCCAGCAGAAGTTAGAAGAGAAATACCTTGATAGATTTCACAGATTGTTCTTTCCCTTTTTTTAAAAAAAGGTGACGATGGTAGCATCTTTGAAGTCTGCTGGGACTTTTAAAGAGTCGCTGATCAAAATGTGTAATTGGAACGCAGCATAGCAGAAGAACCCACCCTGTATAACAGGGGTCCTCAAACTTTTTGAACAGAGGGCCAGGTCATAGTCCATCAAACTGTTGGAGGGCCAGATTATAATTTGGAAAAAAAACATGAATTAATTCCTATGCACATATCTTATTTGTAGTGCAAAAAAAAACAACACTTGAAAACAATACAATAATTAAAATGAAGAACGGTTTTAATAAATATAAACTTTTAGTATTTCGATGCAAAGTGTGGGCCTGCTTTTGGCTGATGAGATAGGATTGTTGTTGTTGTTGTGTGCTTTCAAGTCATTTCAGATTTAGGTTGACCCTGAGCGAGGGCCGGGTAAATGACCTTGGAGGGCCGTATCCGGCCACCGGGCCTTAGTTTGAGGACCCCTGCTGTACAACAACTGTGAAAGGAAGGACATAACAGGTTTCAAATACACATTTCTCCTCCAAAGACCCCTGTATAGGTTTTAATTTATTATATTCCAATTATCTGTCTTTTAGATAGTCAACCTTTCCTGAAGTTAAAGATGCTCATCTTTAACTTCAACTTACAATGTTGTCACCCCACTCGCTTGGGATTCAGCACTGTGCATTATTGTTTAGGATCTGTGCCAGTTGCTTCCTTGTTCATCCTTCATTTCCCTGGTTTCTTTCTGGAGTGATGCAGGGAGCCCTCTTTACCTGGTGTCAAGTTAAACTGAAAATTGTTGTTTTTTCATTCAGTCGCTTCCGAGTCTTCATGACCTCATGGACCAGCCCACGCCAGAGCTCCCTGTCAGCCGTCACCACCCCCAGATCTTTCAGAGTCAAGCCAGTCACTTCAAGGATATCATCCATCCATCTTGCTCTTAGTCAGCCCCTCTTCCTTTTTCCTTTTATTTTCCCCAGCATCATTGTCTTCTCTAAGCTTTCCTGTTTCTCATTATGTGGCCAAAGTACTTCATCTTTGCCTCTAATATCCTTCCCCACAATGAGCAGTCGGGCTTTATTTCCTGAAGTATGAACTGGTTGGATCTTCTTGCAATCCAAGGCACTCTCAGAATTTTCCTCCAATACCACAGTTTGAAAACATCTATCTTCCTTCGCTCAGCCTTCTTTATGGTCCAGCTCTCACATCAGTAGGTTCTACAGGGAATACTATTGCTTTAACTATGTGGATCTTCGTTGCCAGTGTGATGTCTCTACTGCTCACTATTTTATCGAGATTTGTCATTGCTCTCCTCCCAAGCAGTAAGTGTCTTCTGATTTCCTGGCTGCAGTCTGAAACTAAAATAGCCTTTGTCAATGTCTACAAAGAGCCTTCTGCCTCCCATGAGACACCTAGGCTACGTTCTTTCACTTGCCACATTCCTGCCTCCCCTGATGATGGGTGGCAGCTCCTAGAAGCTTTGTGTGAGGCCTGTTTCTGCCCAACTGGTGACTGAGGCAATGGCAGGGAACATGGCAGTCTTTGCTCCTCAGACGGAAGGTTTGATGCTGTGCCAAGCATCTTGGGTGGTAACTTTCCTCACCATCATGTGTTTTTTTCCCCTGAGGTCCCATAAATAACCTTTACCTCTCCATACCATATTTTCTTTTCTCCACTGTGTCACACCACAGCTCTTGACTGCACAGTGGCTTTATATTAGCAATTTATTTAAATAATGGTTTTAACTTCTTGACAACATGTAAAGAAAAGAATTCTATATCCATTGAATAAACAAAGCAGCAGAAGCAAATGAGAGCAAACCAAAATTATTCAACAGCATAATCAGAAAGTATCTTTCCAAAGCCTTATTAAAAAGGAAATGCTAATATGGCACCTACACACACACATTAAATCCTCTAATGGATTTGTTGGGGGTGGTGATGCCAAAGGAATAGAATTGCCGTTGAGAAGGCATTCTCTCTGATATCCACCATCTCATCTCACTAGGCAGTGCTATACTCATTTCTTCTCCCAGGAAACAAGTTCTAGAACTGATGAAAGAGGTCAGTTTTTAGTACTTGTATCAAACCAACATTTCTAGAAATTAAGGGTAGAGATGTGTGGAAATCATGATAGTAAAATGCATGTAGCACAATGTGCTCTCCTCTTTTTGATTCTCTTCCCATCTTATAAAAAAGAAAATGCAGCATAAGACACCAAAAACACTTTAAATGTGGCCTTCACCTGTTTGTGGAGTTTACAATCAGGTGAAGATGAGTGAGAATCAATGAACTGATGCTAGTCCACAAGTTGTTGACTGCTGGTTTCTATTGAGTTTCCAGAGAAGGGTGAAAGAATTGTAACCAATGGGCTAAACATGCTCACTCTTTAAGCTGCTCCTCATAGGGCTTGTTCTCCAGACCCTTGATCATTTTAGTCACCCTCCTCTTGTCAACAGCTCCCTTCAGTTGTGGTTTCACCAGAATTGGACACAGTGTTCCAGGTGTGGTCTCACCAAGGCAGATTATAGGGGTAGCTTGACCTCGGAATCTAGACACTATGCTCCTATTGATGCAGGCCAAAATCCCTTTGGCTTTTTTTTTTCCCCACCGCATCACATTATTGATTCATGTTTAACTTGTTGTCCACAAGGACTCCAAGATCTTTTTCATATGTACTGCTCTCGAGCCACACGTCCCCCATTCTGTATCTTTGCATTTCATTTTTCCTGCCTATGTGGAGTATCTTGCATTTGTCCCCGTTGAACCTCAATTGTTAGTTTTGGCCCATCTCTCTAATCTGTCAAGATCGTTTTGAATTCTGCTCCTGTCCTCTGGAGTATTGGCTATCCCTCCCAATTTGGTGTTGGCTGAAAACTTGATGATCATGCCTTTAAAAAGTTTTAAAAGTTACATTAAAAGTCAAAAAGTTACTCAAGAAAAAGATACAGAGTAGAACACAAAAATGCCAAGAAAGAAAAAAAGAAAAGAAAAAGTAGATGACCTCTGATCTATCCTCGCCTGGTCAAAAGAAAACCACATAAGCTTCACTCTCTAGGCCTCCAATGCTGACTCCTTTCTCTCATAACATCCCCCCTCCCCTCAAATCATTCTTCAAAAGTCTTGTGTGTATTATTATGAACATATGTCTACTGTGCCCTCAGCTGGAGAGGAAAGGATATTACACATTGTTTCCGAGATGTTTTGTGCAGGAACCATGCATAAAAAAATAATCAGCAATTTGTGAAGACATTTTCTTCTGTGTAGCATTATCAACCTCTTCCCATTAAAAATTTTAAAAATACCTATGCTGTTACAGTTAACAGGGAACTGTAGAAACTATGCATGTATGTTGTGTGTCTGTATTTCACATTCTTAAGAAAGGTTGGGGGGAAGCTAAGAAATGTGTAGCCACAAAAGTAGTTTCATACATGTTTCCACCAACGTGCTGGTGTTTCATTGTGCATTTTTTCTTGCATGTGTCTTTATGGGCAGGAGATGCTGATAGAGATTAATAGTTTCTTATCCCTATGTATTGTGGCATGGGATATGTGGCGTGGCATGGGACATGTGGCTTTTCATCTGCTCAACCTAGGCATTCAGAGAACACTCACACCATGTTAATATGAGGTCAAATCACTTCCCCAAAGTGGATTTTTCTCCCTGTGCAGCAAATGAACTATCTAAGCACTTCTGAGAGATGCTGAGCAAATTGAACCTTTTATCGACCCTAAATTCCAGAGATCATTTCAGATACAACATATCCATCAGGCTTATCCTAGTAACCATTTCTTACTTACAGTATGCCTTATTATTTGTGCCCATAAGAAGAGATTAGATTTACCAAAGGCTGAAGCAAAAACTGTAATCATATTAGTGATGACAAAGATTGTAGGTGGTTGCCATCCTTAGGGGCATCTTCAAAATCGTTGGAAACTTTCAAAAAGTTGTACAAATGTCATAAAATCAGATCTTTTATTAGTCATCCTAACCTAAGAAACTTGCTCAAGAGTTAAGGTTTTTCTACAGAAGATCAGCATACAATTGTTTGGCTACATTTGCTTTGTGAAATACAGGTTTCTTTTGGTACATTCAAATCGTCCGTCCCCCCCCCCTCCCCCAATAACTGTTTCAAGCCACACAATCCCCCTTTGGCAAGACATGGATTGCTATCTGCATACCTAGAGCAATCTGATTAATTGGACGTATGGAGCCCCAGGTGGCGCTGGCAGGACTGCTGACCAAAAGGTCGGTGGTTCAAATCTGGGGAGCGGGGTGAGCTCTCATCTGTCAGCTCCAGCTTCCCATGTGAGGACATGAGAGAAACCTCCCGCAGGATGGTAAAACATCAGGCATGCCCTGGGCAATGTCCTTGCAGATGGCCAATTCTCTCACACCAGAAGCGACTTGCACTTTCTCAAGTTGCTCCTGACATGAAGAAAATTGGACTAATAAGACTAATTAGATCAATGGGCCTCAACCAGATGTTTTGGCCTTCAACTCCCAGAAATCCTAACAGTGGGGAAACTGGCTATGATTTCTGGGAGTTGTAAGCCAAAACACCTGGGGACCCACAGGTTGATAATCACTGAATTAGATAACATATTTAGATCTAATTTTCCAAAGGTGTTTATAAACTAGAAAGGAAAAATGCTGATAAAATGGTCTGATTTGACAATGACATTTGGAGCATGTCGACACTTGATCAGTCATTTGTAATGACATGACTGTATGGATCTCTATGACTGCTGTACGATTTTTTACATTGTGTTTGTTGGGATTAGTGAAGGAGGGAGGGAAGAACACCTATATATTATATTAGCAGCATTCTGTGTAAATATGTTGTTTTCCCCGACAGAATCTAATATATTAAACTTTAAAAGAAAAATTATTTGATATTTTTTATGAAATCAACTTCGTATTGCTGTATGTATAAAAAGATAGTGACTTATTGACCTGTTACCAAACTGTAATGAGAGTCCAAAGGCAAAAGAGAGCTGTCACAGTATTAGTTTCTGTCTTTGGTTTACAGAACAAATTTTAAATGAAAATATTAAAATTCTTTTATTAACATGATTGTGGTTGGGTGTTGAATCTTCGTGCATTTTAAACAAAGAAGAACCAATAAATTCAGTCAATTTTTGTGACCTCACATACAAATGACAGTTTCGTCCCTTAAGACTTCCCAGGGGAGAACAGTCTTAAGAGCTTCTAAAGATTCCCAAAGGTTCCGGGGAAACAGCCTTACAGCCCTGAGGAATTCCGGAGGGAATAACAGCTCTAATCGTCAAGATCTCCAGCTAAGTGATTACAGGCCTGCTGGTACGTCTGCTCGGTTCTGAGACACAGTTCAGCCGGTAGTGGATTCAAATCAGTCAGGTTTAGGTTCACAGTAGCCTGGGAGGAGCTAAAAAGGGGAGATTTTCCTTTGAACAAAGTTATTGAAGATAGTGCCTGTTCCCTGTGGACAAGTTTGAGAGAACTGGTTTCTTTACCAAGAAAGCTTTACAATTCCTGTTTGTTCATCAATAAAAGACTGTTATATTTAGACTCAAGCCTCCTAAAGATTGTTTAATGAGGGAAATTTCTCTAAAGGCTCCTTTTCGGGCCCCCTGGCTTTTCGCTGGATTCAAGCCATACATCCTCTCTTAAAGGCACTTCATTTCAGGTCCAGCGGCTACAGAACACAAGGCGCAATAGCTTTTCATACCACTTAAATTGGGAGGTATTTTATGGCACCATAAAAAAAAGTCAGAGATCAAAGAACAGGAGGAAAGTCTGTGATCAAAAAGCCTCGTTGTCATAGAGGATGGAGCAACAGCACCACCCTGTGGCCAGAATCAAGCATAACCTCCAGGATGCCAACATTGGAAAAATGCTGAGACACATACATTCTGTCCTGTATGTCCAATGACATTGAATGTTTGCTGTGTATGTGTTCTGTGATTTGCCCTGAGTTCCCTTCAAACTGCGCAGGGTGGAATATAGATGCTGTAAATCAATCAATCAATCAATCAATCAATCAAATACCTTAATGTGAAAGAGGTCTAAGCTCATATGCTAAATGCATGCAAGGTTCTTTCTCTGAGTGAGACTCATGAAACAAGTAGTGCTTCCGATAGCCCAATTTAGTAGGAATAGTTTTGATCAATCCTCCATCATCCTACTTTTTTCAGCTGTTTTTAAAAGTATGTATCACTTTCCCGTTTTCTCAACTTACTTCAATTGCTGTAAACTGAGTTCAGCTCCTAGCAGCTCTACCAAGGTTGACCACTGATCAAGAATTATGGGAGCTGAAGTTCCAAACACCTGGAGGAATACAAGTTCTGTCGCAGCAAAATGTTTAAGGTTCTGTGTGTAGCAACACAGTGAATGCACCCACATGCATCTTAGACCCCTGCCCATCCTGGCTGATAAAGGAAGCCAGAGCGGGTTTGGTAGAGTGAGTGAAGTTTTGGTCATGTTTCAGCATTGTCTCCTGATGTTTCGCCTGCATCTATGGCAGCATCCCTAGAGGTTGTGAGGTCTTGTGTGTCTTGGAACAGTTTCTCCCATGGAGATGCTATATGGCCATGTTCCAGAAGCATTGTCTCCTGACATTTCGCCTGCATCTATGGCAGGCATCCTCAGAGGTTGCAATTTGGTTTTCTATAAGTTTTTTGGGCTGCATGGCCATGTTCCAGAAGCATTCTCTCTTGACGTTTCTCTTGCACCTATGGCAGGCATGCTCAGAGGTTGTGAGGTCTGATACCGCTTATGTCGGGAAGCGTTGGCCTTCTACCAGGAGACTCCGTTCCCCTTCTTCTACTTCCATCCGAATTCCTGCTGATGCTGCAACTTTCCCTTCTGGATCCTCTGATGCCTAACTCTCACCGCGCCCAGCCTCGGGGCTAGAAGGATCCAAACTTTCAGAATGGAGACATCGCGCTAGTTAAAGAAAGAAAAGCAAACTCGGCCTCCTTCTCCACTGATTGGGAAACCAGCTTCAAACGCAGCCAACCGGCGCCTGCTTCCCATCCCCTCCGAGGCGGAGCGAGCCCTCTTGCAACCTATTGCAGAGGCGCGTTGGGTTTCAAACTCTGTATATAACCTCCACGCCTCTTGCGCAGGTGATGCATTAGTCCCCGGGGAGCGTGTTTTGGGAAAGGAAGGAAGGCAGGAAGGGAAGGAGGGAGCGGGCGGGCGGATGGCGAACCTGTCGCAGTGCCTGGAGGATGCGCCTTTCCGGGGCTTCCGCTCCTGGGACCCGCGCCCCCCGCAGCCTTACAGCGAGGCGCAGCGCCTGGCGCTGGAGGAGCTGATCGCGGGCGGGCGGGCGGCTTTCCAGGCTTTCCTGCGGAGGGAGAAGGTGCGCGCCTTCCTCTCCGAGGCCGAGGTCCAGGCCGTGCTGCGCGCCGCCCTCCCGCCGCCCCCCGGGGAGGACAGCCTGGGCGCGGAGGCGGCCCTCAACGCCTCCCTCGACTGCTCCTCGCTCACCTACTTCCCGCTCCAGTCCGACGTGGAGCCGCCCGTGCTCGAGCTGGGCTGGCCGGCCTTCGTCAGCGGCTCTTTCCGGGGACTCACCCGCGTGGAGAGCTACTTCCAGCCCAGCTTCGGGGAGACCATCTACCCCTGCAAGGAGGCCGTGCGCAAGCAAATCCGCTCGGCCAAAGAGGTGAGAGGAGAGGGGCCTTCCCGGGGTGCCTCAGCCTCCTCTGGACAAGGCATGCACTTGGGAACCAACTGCTTTGGTTCAATACTGTCAAATCCTGGGAGTCGTAGTTTTACCAGTTTGCTCTGTCCAAAAAAGTTGATGCCTCACCAACTGTTGCGCAAAGCAGGGATGGGCAAACTTGGATCCTCCAGGTGTTTTGGACTCCAACTCCCACTATTCCTAACTGCCTCAGGCCCCTTCCTTTCCCCCCTCAGCCTGAGACTGTTAGGAATGGTGGGAGTTGGAGTCCAAAACATCTGGAGGGCCCAATTAGCCCATGCCTGTTCAACACTATACAGTGAATGCAGTTTGACACCACTTTAACTGCCATCACTGAAGGCTATTTAGTCCCAGGAGTTGTAGTTTTACATGGTTTTACATGGTCTTTGCCTCTGCCAAAGGGTGTTGGGGTCTCACCAAACTGCCAATCCCTGGATTCCATAGCATTGAGCCAAAAGTGGGGTCAGATTGCAAACTATTGTCAAAGGCTTTCATGGTCAGAATCATTGGGTTGCTGTAAGTTTTTCGGGCTCTATGGCCATGTTCCAGAAGCATTCTCTCCTGATGTTTTGCCTGCATCTGTGGCAGGTCTCACAGCCTCACAACCTCTTTGATTGTAGGTGAATTGTAAATTTTATTTATTTATTTATTTATTTCAGGTACTTCTACCCCACCCTTCTCAACCCCCTAAGGGGGACCCAGGGTGGCTTCCAAGTGGCATACATTGATGCCTACAAATTCACATAATAAAATACATAGTCACAATAATTATAGCAAAACATTACATTAATACAATAAAAAGCCAGCCTGGTGGCCATCGTTTTGCCAAGTCCGTAATTAATAAATTCATTCCGCTTATCATAGTCTGTTTCCAAAACTTTAGCCTGTCAGTCTGCCAGATTACTCAAAGGCCTGGTCCCATATCCACGTTTTTAATTTTCTTCTGAAAGAGAGGAGGGATGGCGATGATCTAATTTCCTCGGGTCATGGGAGTTCTTTGTTCCAGATTTGCTTCAATTCCATCGTTGATGGAGTTCAGAATGCTCTTTGGTTGTATGTTAACTATAAATCCCAGCAACTACAATTCCCACATGACAAAATACCCTCCCAACCCCACCAGTATTCAAATTAGAGTGTATCAGGTATTTGTGCCAAATTAGGTCCAGTGAATGAAAACGCATCCTGCCTATCAGATATTTACATTGTGATTCATAACAGTAGCAAAATTACAGTTATGAAGTAGCAACAAAAATAATTTTATGGTTGAGGATCACCACAACATGTATTAAGGGGTTGTGGCATTAGGAAGATAGAGAACCACTGCATTACATTCAACCCTCCATGGTTTGAAAACAGTGGGTGGAAATCCTTGACCATCTGTCTCAGGCATGGGCAAACCTTGGCCCTCCAGGTGTTTTGGACTTCAACCCCTACAATTCCTAAGATTCCTACTGGATGTTAGGTATTGTGGGAGTTGGGGTCCAAAACACCTGGAGGTTTGCCCATGCCTGATCTATCTTCATTCAACTATAGATGTATGCCTTATGGACCTTTCTTCTTACTGCTGTTTATCTTTCTGGTTTGCACATGTTCTGTATAGGAGCATGATTTGATTTTTATCATATCTTTGCATATTTATTCTCTTTCTCTAATTGATTTTTAAAATGTCTATGGTTTAATTAGGGGTGTAGCAAGTTGACACACTGGTTTAAGGGTTGCAAGGTAGGCCATAAGGTACGGACAGCTTTGAAAAGAGAATTGCTCTAGCATTGGCTTCATCCTGAATTATGATTCCATGTTATTTCTGCCTTTGGTATCAAATTTCCTGTCAAAGAAATATTGCCCAGGAATACATCTCCTGAGCTATATTTGTAGTTGCTTTGAACTGAGCTCTGTGCACTTAAAAAACCCCAGCTGAGGCTCTCATATGAATACATGAATAAACAGTAAATGCTATAGAACTAACAAAAGGTTGTTGTTGTTATCATTATCTGCTCTTTTTTTAATTGGTGCATGAACAAAATGATTTTTGTGATTGTTTCCACATTTTTATTTTTGTTTTAGCATAGAACTTTTTTTTAAAAAAAGAAAAAATATTTTCACGTTAGCAGGTCAATCCACTTAATAAGTGTCTAAATAGACATTTGTCATTGTTTCTTCTGTTCCTCATTGTTAATCATTTGAATAACAATGAGGAACAATAGAGTTACAAGCTGGGTAGACGCAGAGAAACCATGGATGTAGCGTATCTGGATTTCAGTAAGGCCTTCGACAAGGTCCCCCATGACCTTCGGGCAAACAAATTTGTTCAATGTGAGCTACGCAAAACTACGATTAGGTGGATCTGTAATTGGTTAAGCGAATGAACCCAAAGGGTGCTCACCAATGCTTCCTCCTCATCGTGGAAAGAAGTGACGAGCGGAGTGCTGCAGGGTTCCACCCTAGGCCTGGTTCTGTTCAACATCTTTATTAATGACTTAGATGAAATGTTAGAAGGCATGATTATCAAGTTTGCAGACAACACCAAATTGGGAGGGATAGCCAATACTCCAGAAGACAGGATCAGAATTCAAAACATTCTTAACAGATCAGAGAGATAAGCCAAAACTAACAAAATGAAGTTCAACAGGTACAAATGCAAAATACTCCCCTTAGGCAAAAAAAAAATGAAATGCAAGCATACAGAATGGAGGACGCCTTGCTCGACAGCAGTATGTATGAAAAAGATCTTGGAGTCCTCATGGACAACAAGTTAAACATGAGCCAACACTGTGATGCGGTGGGAAAAAAGCCAATAGGATTTTGGCCTGCATAAAAGGAGTCTAGTGTCTAGATCCAGGGAAGTCATGCTACCCCTGTATTCTGCCTTGGTCAGACCACACCTGGAATACTGTGTCCAATTCTGGTCTTCGCAGTTGAAGGGAGATGTTGACAAACTGGAATGTGTCCAGAGGAGGAGGACTAAAACGATCAAGGGTCTGGAGAATAAGTCCTATGAGGAGCGGCTTAAAGAGCTGGGCATGTTTAGCCTGAAGAAGAGAAGGCTGAGAGGAGGCATGATAGCCATGTATAAATATGTGAGGGGAAGTCATAGGGAGGAGGGAGCAAGCTTGTTTTCTGCTGCCCTGGAGCCTAGGATGCAGATCAATGGCTTCAAACTACAAGAAAGGAGAACTTCCTAACTGTGAGAGCTGTTTAGCAGTGGAATTCTCTGCCCTGGATTGTGTTGGAGGCTTTTAAACAGAGGCTGGATGGTCATCTGTTGGGGATGCTTTGAATGCAATTTTCCTGCTTCTTGGCCCATGAGGTCTTTTTCAGCTCTATGATTTTATGCTAAATTTTGGGTAAATACCTATAAATGCAAGAAAAAAGACTTCAGAAACACATATGGTTTGTGGGATACATGGTTAGATCTGTTATATGCTACTGTATATGTTCTGTGAACTGGAATGGGATATACGAGGGGTATTTTTTAAGTAAGGTCCGTTTTGTTGTAGACACTAGTAGTTTGAGCGCATGCGTCGTGTACTGGTATGCCTCAGGAACAACTGTGCTCAGTTTACGCTCTGTAGCGAACCTGTACGGTTCTGTTTTGTGCTTTAAAAATGTTTAAGACTATTAACTCACCCGCCGCATGTGAGGTTCGCTCAGTGATACGGTTTTTGTCAGCAATGAACCTGCCTGCTGCAGAAATTCATTGACAGATTTGTGAAGTGTATGGTGATACAGTTATGAGTGAAAGCAAAGTGCGTAAGTGGGTACGACAATTCAAAGATGGCCATGACAACATCCATGATGAGGACCGCTCCGGTCGCCCTTCTTTGATTACAGATGATTTGGTGACTTCAGTTGAAGCAAAGATTCGTGAGAACAGGTGCTTCACAATAACAGGTCTCTCAAACGAATTTCCTGACATGTCGAGATCAGTGCTTTACAACATTGTTTCTGAACACCTAAAGTTTAGGAAACTGTGCTCCCGTTGGGTCCCGAAACTCCTAACAGAGGACCACAAAAACCAAAGACATGAAAACGGCAGTGAACTCTTGGTTATCGGAGCAGGCGGCAAGTTTTTATGAAGAGGGTATTTTAAAATTGGTTCAGAGGTATGATAAGTGTATGAACAAACTTGGCAACTATGTCGAAAAATAGAGTAAAGTATGTACTTTCTGAAAATAAATTTACTTTTTTGAAATAAACTCTCATTGTGTACTTATGTTCAAACGGACCTTACTTAAAAAATACCCCTCGTATTATTTGAGAAGTGAAGAGAGCTAATTAGTTTTCCTGTGATGAGGCAGAAGCTGCAGATGCAGTGTTAGCTTCTTTTTAATTAATACATGAAACCCAGACTTCATTGTCATATTTATTGTTCTCCCATGTTCCCAGACTACTCCAGAAGCTTTTGTATTAATTATTGTTACTATAGTCCTGTAATGTAGACAAGTATTATACACATATTATTATCATCTGGTGATCTTATGCCCTTTGCCTTAGGTTCCAAAAGATCAATGCTGGAAACTTGTCCTTCACCTATTAATTAATACAGGTTGAGCATCGCTGACACAAAAATTAAAATACTCCAAAAGAAAAAATGTTTTGAACATTGCCGTGATTCCACAAGTGGAAAATCCCACACCTGACCTCATTTGAATTATACCTAATAATTACTTAAAATATTGGATAAAACTACCTTAGGGCTATGTGTATCAAGTTTATATAATAATTGAATTTCATGTTTAGACTTGGGTCCCATCTCCAAAATATATTCCAAAATCAGAAACAATTCTGTACAGAAGTATTTTGGATAAGCGATATTCACACTATATTCTTTGTTTGTTGTTGCATGCCTTCAAATAGTTTCTGGCTAATTATGGGTTTTCTCGGCCTGATTTGTTTAGAAGGGTTTTTCCTTTGCCTTCCTTTGAGGGCCCTTCCACACAGCCATATAACCCAGAATATCA